GTGTATTCTGAATGGGAAATCACATTTGTATGCTGTGCTGATACTCAGTAAATGAAAATAAATAAATTCAAAAACATACATTAATGGCTAATAGGACCAGCAGATGGCATAATGGTTACACCCCTGGACTCTCACGCAGTCAACCACGGTTCAAGTTCCAGACTTAGGGACTTAAAACTCATGCTGGGTGCACGTGTGTTCCCAAAGTCCTGAGAGAAGAAAAGATTATGGTGTGGCCATCACCCTAAGGGATGATTTCTTGCTTTCTGTTTCTGTCGAGTGCAAATACCCTACAATAACAATTACTCTTAAAAAAAAAGGGGGGGAGGGGCTGGCAGGTGGTGGTGAAGGGGCTGGACTCTCACATGGCCAACCATGGTTTGAGTCCTCAACTTGATGGCTTTCTTTCTCACTTACTCTGGTCAAATTAAAAATATAATAACAACAAATAAAATTAAATCATTTTTAAAAAATGTTAATGACTGAATGGTAAATTTTATGCAATGCACATTTTATCATAATAAAAAATAGGGAACATGGCATTAACAGAAATCACTGTACTTATAAAATTATTAAATACACAATTAGATATAATTTTCATCTATCATATTAAATACAGACAGACAAGAAAACCACTTGCTCAGATGTTATCAGTGGCACCCTAACTTGCACATTATTTTGTAGGCAGTTGTGTGGGACCAGCAGGTAACATGGTGGTTGGGGAGCTAGATTTGTATATAGTTGGCCACAATTTCAGTCCGGGACCCAGCAGCTTGAAAATATCACCCCGGACATGTATGTACATGTCTCAAGGATCCCAAGGGGAGAATGAAGCAGAAATGTCGTGCCCATCCCCCTGGGGTGTGATTTCTCACTTTCCTTTTCTCGGTCTCTCTTTGGTGAACACATGCTTTCTACGGCAAAAACCTAAAAAAAATGCAATTGTGCAACATATGTCAAAAATATAATAAACATAATACATGCATATACTTAAGTCTCAGTAACTTCACTGCTAAAAATGTTAGCAAATAAGATAATACTGGAAGTGGGCTAAAAATATATACTGTATGGTACTATAGTACTATTTCTAAAAGTATGAATTTGGAAGAAAATTTCAAGGCTTATTGAGAAAACAAAAGCAGTGGGCCAGCAAATAAACCTTTGGTTAAGTTCCAATCCCAGTCATGGTGACTTGATAAACATGCCAGGTACAAGTGCATGCATGCATATATGCCTAAGAGCCTAACAGGATAGAACAATGAAGAAGGAATTATGGCTCTCTCTGGCCAGAAAAAAAAAAAAAAAAAAAAAAAAAAGGCCAGAAAGAAAAAGGAAAAAAGAAACTGACACCAGCCTAGAGGTGCATGTTAAGAAAGGCCAGGTCCTACAGGCCAACTGGTTTCAAACTCATCAGTCTAAAAACACCCGGGCATACATATGAGTGCCCAAAAGTCAACAGACTGGAGGACTAGAAAAAGAGGAAGGTGGTTGGGAACCAGCAGTTAGCGTACTAGCTATGTCGCTGGACTCCCCCGTAGTCGACCGCGGTTCGCATCCCGGACCCGGTGGCTTAAAACTCACGCCGGGCACGTGTGCGTGTGTGCCTAAGATCCCGAGAGGAGAATGGAGGAGAAGGGATTGCGGCGTGGCCATCCCCTCTAGGGGGTGGTATCTCGGTTTCTGTCTCTGTCTCTCTCTTTCTTTCTGGCGAGCGCACGGGCCCTATAGCAAAAATCTCTCCAAAAAAAAAAAAAAAAAAGAGGAAGGTGGCATGACCAGACCCTGTGAAGGGTACTTTTCTTTCTCTCACTCTCTGTCATGTGCACAAATTCTAATATGGGTAAAGAAAAAAAAAAGAGAAAATGGATAAATTATGGGTGCCATTTATAATGGAATATTATGTAAATGCTAAAAATTATGAACTATGAGGTCAGCAGATGGCATAATAGTTATACTGCTAGACTCCCACAGAGTCAACCACAGTACAAGTCCCACATCCGGCAGCTTCTAACTCACACTAGGAACATGAGCATACATGCCCAAACATGCCCAAAATTCCAAGAGGAGAATACGGAAGAAGGGACTGCAGATAGCTATCCACTGTGGGAGGTGACTTCTCATTTTTCAGTCTCTCTCGGTCTCTGTCTCCCTGGTGAGTGTATGCACTCTATAGTAAAAATCTCTCTTTAAAAAAAAAAAAAAAAGGCATGAATTGTGTTACCAAGTCTATAACAGAGGGGGAAAAAAAAGAGATTTCAAAACATCGGGATTCCAATTGTGTAAAATGGACACACAGATTTCCTAACAGAGAAGGGGTATAAACCAAAATGTTAACACTGGTTTTAGTTATATCTGGGTAAGTGACTTACTTGATTTTAGTTTTTTTCTGGATAGCTTGAATATTTTACCATAAGCATATATCCTATTTATAATTTACAAGGCAATTTCCTTTTTTTCTTTAAATCTTTTTTTTTCTTTGAGGTTTTTGCTATAGGGTGCGTGCACTTGCCAGAAAGACAGAGACAAAGAGATAGAAAGCAAAAAATCACCCCCTGGGGGGATAGCCATGCTGCAGTCCCTTCTCCTCCATTCTCCTCTCAGGATCTTGGGCACGCACGCACACGCGCCCAGCATGAGTTTAAGCCACTGGGTCCGGGACTCAAACTGCAGTCAACTACATGGGAATCCAGCGACAAAGCCATTTCGCCAACTGCTGGTCTGTCCTTTATTTTTCTTTAAGAGAAATCTTTGCTGTAGGGTACATACACTTGCCGGAGAGACAGACAGAAAATGAGAAATCAACCCTGCAGGGAGGATGGCCAAACCACAATCCGTTCTCCTCCATTTTCCTCTTGGAATTTCAGGCATGCACATACATGCGCCCAGCGTGAATTTGAAACCATTGGGTCTGGGACTTAAACCACAGTTGACCAAGTGGAAGTCCAGCAAAATTACCAGTATGCCATCTGCTGGTCCTGGCACTTTCCATTTTAATAAATCTATTTTCCTTAAAAATATATAATATCACATATATTCTATGTTTACATGTGTAGTTTATTATATATCATCAATAGCTCTTAAAGCAAGTTAACGAAATGACTTATTTTAACAATGGGGGAAACTGACTTAATCTCAGCAGATTCACTATAATACCATTCAAAACAATCAGAGAACTAGAAGATTCTTTATTTATTTTTTTGGAGAGGTTTTTGCTATAGGGCACGTCGCTTGCCAGACAGACAGACAGAGATAGAGAGACAGAAAGCGAGAAATCACCCCCCAGGGGGGATGGCCACGCCACAATCCCTTCTCCTCCATTCTCCTCCCGGGATCTTGGGCACGCATGCACACGCGCCGGGCGTGAGTTGCAAACCACCGGGTCCGGGACGCGAACCACAGTTGACTACATGGGAGTCCAGCAACATAGCCATTATGCTAACTGCTGGTCCCAGAACTAGAAGATTCTTTACCTTCAGGAAAAATACAGGACCAAACACAGTCTTTTTTATTTTCTGAATTATTTTATTCCACTTTATTTATCCATTTATTTTTTTATTTTATTTGACCAGAGAGGGACAGAATGAGAGAGAAAGTGAGAAAGCAAGCTACCAGGTCCTGACTAGAACAGTGGTCAGCCACGTGGGGGTCCAGCACCCTCAATGACCATGCCACCTGCTGGCCAAGGAAGGACCAAACATACTCTTAACAATTAGGGGGGAGGAAAAAAAAAAAAAAACAAAAACAGACTTTCTAAAAATGTACTTGTTGGGAACCAGCAGTTAGCGTAAGGGCTATGTCGCTGGACTCCCACATAGTCGACCGCGGTTCGCGTCCCGGACCCGGTGACTTAAAACTGACGCCGGGCACGTGTGCATGCGTGCCCAAGATCCAGAGAGGAGAATGGAGGAGAAGGGATTGCGGCGTGACCATCCCCCCTGGGGGGTGATTTCTCGCTTTCTGTCTCTATGTCTCTCTCTGTCTGTCTGGCGAGCGCACGCGCCCTATAGCGAAAATCTCTAAAAAAAAAAAAAATGTACTTGCTTTCTGGACAGTTTTTCTACCTTTAAGTAACTTCAAATTTTAACTACTTAAAAATGAAGTGGGAAAGACAAAAAGATTCAACATGAACTATTAAAAAGGGAAGGAGGGGCCAGCAAGTGGTGTGGTGGTTAAAGCCCTTGATTTCCACATGCCTAACTGTGGTTTGAGCCCCAGATCCAGTGGCTTGAAAGTCACAATAAATAAATAAATACATGTCTAAAAAACAAAATCAAACAAGAAAATGAAATAAGAAATGTTGATATGCTACATCCCACATTCATCTTGAAGGATAAAAAAATTCATTTAACGAACAATTCTAAACAAATTCTTACTAACGTGTTAAGTTCGGTTACCTAACATCATAAGTAGCACCTCTCAATGCCTTAGTTATATATTCTGCAAAAAGGGATCAAAATAAATGATTTCTAAAGTTTCTTTTAGACCTGAGGTTTAAGAGCTACATTAACAATATAAAGTTTTCTTGGGACCAGCAGTTAGTGTAATGGCTATGTTGTTGGACTCCCATGTAGCCAAACGCGGTTCGAGTCCCGGTGACTTAAACTAACGCCGGGTGCATGTTCCCAAGATCCCGAGAGGAGAATGAAGGAGAAGGGATTGCCATCCCCCCGGGAGGTGATTTCTTGCTTTCTATCTCTGTCTGTCTGGTGAGCGCAGGCACCCTATAGCAAAAAACCTCTCCAAAAAAAAAAATAAATATATATATATATTGTGAAAACAATTTTACAGAGAAAGAAAAAGTATCTGCCTTTTCTATCAATGTAACTTCAAATATGTTCACAAATCGCCAGCATGGTTTTCCTACTCTCGAACCTTGGGAGAAAAATTTACACATATAACCCTGACTAATAAAGCATCTTAAAATGAAGGAAAGCACACAATTTTTCTTTTGTACAGAAAATTAATTATACTTATTTTTTATAAACACCTTTAATACTTACAGCTTGATTAGGAAGATTGTCAGTCTTAAGTTCTCTGTGATTAGAATACTGAATATAGACAGGTTGGCTTCGAAGGTGAGGAGTAACAGGAGTGTAATAATTCACCATAGTAACAGCAGCTTCCTCAGAAGCCATTTCTAAGAAAGCCTGCAATAAACACAAGGAGGTAAAGTGAAAGCTCATCTTTGCAAAAGCCAGTTAAGAGTTACTTTGTCATCCTGGTTTCTTTTAAACTCATTTCTTTAAATAGAAATGACATTATCCACAAAGGGAAGAAAAAAACTTCAACTTCAAAGTATATCATGAATGTTAACTAGAAACTTATTTGAAAAGTTAGGTTCGGGACCAGCAATTGGTGTAATGGCTATGGCTCTAGACTCTCATGTAGTTGTGACTGCGGTTCAAATCCCAGACCTGGTGACTTAAACTCATGCCTAGTATGTTTACGTGCGTGCCCAAGATCCTGAGAGGAGAATGAAGGAGAAGAGACTGCGGCATGGTCATTCCTCCTACGGGGGTGATTTCTTGCTTTCTAGCTCTCTTTCTCTGTCTTTCTGGAAACCGCATGTGCCCTATAAAAAAAACTTCTCCAAAAGAAAAATTTAGTTCAATAGGGATTTGGAATGGGGAAACCACTAGTTGATTAAACGATTTTATGTGGTTTTTGGTTTTCCTCTTATTTCTGCTTCTTCTAAAATCTAGAAATAATTTTTTTTTGATAGGTTTTTGCTATAGGGCGCATGCGCTCGCCAAACAGAGAGAGAGACATAGAGACAGAAAGCGAGAAATCACCCCCCAGGGGGAATGGCCACGCCGCAATCCCTTCTCCTCCATTCTCCTCTCTGGATCTTGGGCACGCACGCACACGCACCCAGCGTGAGTTTTAAGCCACCGGGTCCGGGATGCGAACCGTGGTCGACTACGTGGGAGTCCAGCAATATAGCCATTACGCTAACTGCTGGTTCCCGAAATAATTTTCTTTTAAAGTAAAATGAATAGTGACTGTATGTATTAAAAAAGAAACAAAAAATGTAAATAAATAAAATAAAATGAATGTATCACCTTTGTAAAAGAGAACTTTCCAGGGTCTGGCTTTTAATAATTCTTTCATTAAAAATCTTAGGTCTGGAGCAGGCAGGTGGTATGGTGGTTAAGGACACTAGACCCCCACATGGCTGACCATGGGTCAAGTCCTGGACTTGGCGGCTGCCTTTCTCACTTCCCCTCTCTCTCTCACACACACACTGTCTCTCTCTGGTGCAATTAAAATATATAAAATAAACTTAAATAAAATAGTCCTTAAAAAAAAAAACGTAGGGCAAAAAGGCTATAATACATTAATAAGAGATAACTAAAATTTTATGGAGCCAGGTAGTTGGTAGCATAGTGGTTAAGATAGCTGGATCCTGGGATAAGCAGATGGCATAAAGGTTATGTGGTTGGACTCTCATATCATAAACTGTGGTTCAAGTCCCGAACCTAGCAGCTTAAAACTCACACTGGAGGCATGTGCATGCATGCCCAAAATCCCAAAGGAGAATGGCAAAGAAGGGATTGTGGGGTGGCCATCACCCGGGGGGGTGTTTTCTCACCTTCTGCTTCTGTATCTCTGGTGAGCACATGCATCTTATAGTAAAAATCTCTTTTAAAAAAAAGCCCACATGGCCAACTGTACAGGTCAAGACCCAGACCTGGTGGACTGAAAAACACCCTGATCCAAGTGAATGTGTGCCCAAATCTCGAGAGGAAAAGGGAGAAGAGATTGCAACGAGGCCATCCCCCGGAGGAGTGTTTTCTCACTTGCCTTCTTTCTCCAAAGATATGAACATAACCTGAAACAAGTTTTTTAGAAAAGAGAGAAACCGGGAGAAAAAGAAAAGGTAAGCACCCCCAAAGGGTCCTAAGCCACAATCCCTCAGCCTTGTCAGTTAGCCAGGGTCACAGGCACAAGCTTCCTGCATGTACAGGTCAACAGGCAAACCAAAACTTCAATCTCCCATATGGATCTAACTTCACTTGAGCATCGCATAACCAAATGTCACTGAGCTAGCTCTATCTGGTTTTCAATTAGCTTTCAATGAAGAATTTAACATTATTCTAATAAATTTACTATTGATACATAGAGAGTATATTTCTGGAAACTCCTTGATAAATGTTAAGAACTAACTCAATTTCTACTGATTGAAAAAAAAAAGGTAATCAACATTTTTGGAAGACATGATCCTTATCATAGCAAGTTTTTCCTATAAACACATAAAACCTAAAATTTCATATATAAAAAGCAGATTCCTTCAGAGTCCAGTAAAGGAATTATTTATGTTCTCTGAAATATATAGCCAAAGCACACAATTTTCATAATGTTGGGCAGAGACACAACCAAAAGTCACTACCTAGAAAAATGCTGGTGAAAATCACCCCCACTCTGCCCAATAATCCCTCCAAATGCCCTGGGAAAGCTTATTACCTACAAGTGCTTCTAGTGACTCGTATCAGAATCTCTTGCCAAAACATATACTAAAGAGGTATTTTCTTAACAAGGTTTATGATTAAGAGACAACCATTTAACACAAGAGTTACAGTTAACTTACAAATAATACAAACACCAAATCAGTAGTAGAGACAAAGAAAATTGTGACATTGTCTGCTGCTTCTCATAGGCAGCAGCCATCAGAAATGCCCTATTTGCTTTCAAACCACACGAACCATATATTATTATTATATTTTGTTATAGGGTACAGGCGCACTGGAGAGCAGGAGAAAGTAAGAAAGCACTCTCCCCCACCCTCAGGGGGATAACTGCACCACAATCCTTCTCCTCCATGTCCCTCTTGGGATTTCGGGCACATGTGCTGGTGTGTTTTTCAAGCCATCAGGTCCACAATTCGAACTGCACAGTCGGCCATGTGGGATCTAGCTGCCCTAACCACCATGACTCCAGGCGGCCTAACATACTATATTATTTTAAATGGTAGCAAATGTGCTAATTTCTCCAATATTAGTAACCACAAATTAACTAAATGGAGATATTAAGTAGATTATTAAAGATAAGGGATTCACATCACCATCTAATGTCTTTCATGCTCAAAGCTTATCCACCAATTTATTTATAGACACATGTATGTGTTCTTAAACTTATTTATGAAAAGTAAGCTTATTATTAAAAAGTAGAACCAACATAGTGACATTTCACAAGGTACTACAAAACTTGGAGGGCCTAGATTTAATGTCCTCATCTTTACATTAATGCTCAGTATAAAGTATTTTTATGACAACCAAAACTGTGGGAAAAACTACAGAATTCACCCCCATAGGGTCTCAGATAGAACAAGAAAATAGTTATTCAAATCAATAAAAGTGTTCTGTTTCTGTTGTGGAAACCAAGTTTTCTTATTCATCTTAAGAAAAAAACTATTAACTTTGAAAGAAAGACTCTTACAGTCTTTTTCAAGTAATTAATGAAGCCACATATTACTTCTATAGTACAATGTGCTGTAAAACATCAGTTTATGGGAGAGACGTTATTTTGGACATTTCTCCTGTGCTAGGGCCCAAGAAGACCAGGCCAAACTAAAATGGAGTCATTTATGCTAAGTGAAGAAGGTTAGCCTGGGGAACCAGCAGTTAGCATAATGGCTGTCGCTGGACTCCCACGTAGTCGACCACGGTTCGTGTCCTGGACACGGTGGCTTAAAACTCATGCCAAGCGCATGTGCGTGCGTGCCCAAGATCCCAAGAGAATGGAGGAGAAGGGATTGTGGCGTGGCCATCCCTCCTGTCTCTCTGTCTCTCTCTGTCTGTCTGGCGAGCACACGCGTCCTATAGCGAAAACCTCTCCAAAAAAAAAAAGGTTAGCCTGGAAAACAGATCAATAACAACCAATGAGAAAGAGTCTAGTTTACTTCAATCAGTGTGGTAAGTCGGGCCCCTCTGCTTTAACCCTCACAAGAAAAGCCACCGCAATAACATAATGTTAACTCATCTGTTCTTTTTCATTGTTCTGTTTGTTGTTCTGACCCTATTAAAAAATTCTATCATGCTCAGAGGAACACTCATTCTAGTTTTCAGAATGACATGATATCCAATTCTAGAATTATAAATAAAAATAAACAAATTTGTTCTAATTATGTCTTGAGACAATATTACAGATTTCTACCTAGATTTTTTTTTTTCTGGAGAGGTTTTTGCTATAGGGCACATGTCCTCGCCAGAAAGACAGAGACAGAGAGACAGAAAGAGAGAAATCAGTCCTGGGGGGGATGGCCACACTGCCATCCCTTCTCCTCCATTCTCCTCCCGGGATCCTGGGCATGCACGCACACACGCCTAGTGAGTTTAAGCCACTAGGTCCGGGACTCAAACCATGGTCAACTACATGGGAGTCCAGCAACACAGCCATTATGCCAACTGCTGGTCCCTCCATCTAGATTTTGAAATAACATGTTTTTTTAATTTGCCAAGTGACAGGTAATTCATCTATACTCTCCCTAGTAAGGTTTTTTAATAAAGATATTATACAGAACCTACAATTCAAGATACAAACAAAATTTAAAGAAGTAAAAAGTGAAACATAATATTAAATGTTTCTTGTCAAGGAAAGAAAAAAATCATGTCAATAGATTACGTTTTCTGTGTTAGTATTTTTGTTACTTCCTATATTACACAATATGTCTATTGATACTTTAAAAAACTAACATACGGGGCCAGCTGATGGCAGGGGGGATAAGGAGGCTGGATCCCAGAAGGCCTATTATATGGTTTGAGCCCCCCAGATTCTGCAGCTTAAAACAGACTGAATGCATGTGCATGTACGCTCCAAATCCCGAGAGAATAGAGAAAGGATTGTGTTATGCACCCGGGGATTGTCTCTCTCTCTAGCTCTTCAATGAACACATGTGCTCTATAGGGGCTGGCAGGTGTCATGGTGGTTAAGACACTGGACTCCTGCATGGTTGACTGAAGTTCAAGTCAGACCTGGCGGTCTGCTCTCTCTCTCTGGTTAAACTAAATAATAATGATAATAAATAAAATTAAATAAGCAATTATTTTATAGATAAATAAATAACTCTAACACAGACAGAATGAAATTTATTAAAAAAAAAGTTTAAGGAAATTAAAATCATTTTTAACACTAACACCCAGAGATAATT